TGCAAACACTAGACTAACTACATTTATCACGGTGTTCATTACTGAGAACAATAAAAAAAAAACTACTGTTGTTTACCTTTGTTTTCTCTGTAAAAGAATAAGATAATCAATTACCGCAGCTTACTTAAAGTTGTGGTCCATTTCTATTTTGGATTGGAATAATATTTTACAAGGAAACAAACTACGCAAGTTGCGTGCTTTTCTCTGTTTATTTGTTATTGGAACCGTCCTGGAATGATCTCATGACAAAGCCTTTAAAACCGCACTTGCTTGGCAGTTTTCAAACCAATCTAATCCTGGCGGTTGGAGTTGCAGTACCATTTCCCTCTTAATCTTAAAGTCATGATATCCTTCATAGAAAAAGGATTTCTTTCCGCGCTTTTGGTGTGCTTGATGCAAAACGGCGTCATCGAAGGTATTTTTAATTTTCAATATTCGATTTGTATTCAAACGATTCCTCTCGAAAGGTCCCGAAACCTCTCAAACTATCTTCACTGACTATCAGTTAACAACTTTTACGTTGGACTTAATTATCAAACGGTACTTTTCTATCAGTACCAAAACTGAATGATTGCTTGATGTATCTTAAAGCTCTTGTGATCAGTGTTGCCTTCAATAATCGTTACGTTTTTTAGAGAATAAGTAAAATACACGCCCCACCCCTGAATTTAAGGCCCATTCACTTGGCGTCGCTAATGCTGAGACATTTCATAGAGCTGAGGCCTGGCCATACAACGAAAAATATTAGGTAGCGTCGAAGGATTCAGATTCCCAGAGCAATATCTCAAAGTCAGTTTTAGTCCTCTCAAGATTATCACTTACCATAAGCAAGCTTTATTCAAATGAAATAATGCTGCTGAAAAATAAGAAAAAAACCTCAAAAGTACACGTTTCCTTTATAGTTCACAATTGCTTGGTTCTATACTCGTTTCATTCATCATCGACTGCCTTGTAACATTCAACGCGTTTTTGAATAAGTATGGAGAGTGGGAATAGAAACCATCCCGCAGCAGGTCACGTAGCCGTTATACTCCACTGATACTTCATGTATTCAAGGTTAACTCTTCAATCCTTTGACATCCATTGTTTCGAGTATTGTCTCTTGTTTTAACGTTGCTCTCTCATCTCATGGCATATTGGCCTTCATTTCCTTTTAGAGATGAGATGTGTAGTGCGCTAGTCTCTGCACTCGTAATATTCTCTAATTTTACTCATATTTCCGATTAAAAGAAAAAAAAACAACTGCTTTAGTCGAGTGCAAGACCAGATTACAGTTTTAGCATGTGATGTGTAGTGTGCTAGTCACTGCACTTGTAACATTCTCTCGTTTTAGTCATATTTCCGATAAAAAAACAACTGTTTCAATCGAGCGCAAGACCCCATTTCAGTTTTAGCGTAATCTAGAAAAAATGTCGTTGGCTTTCGTAATTGACTGACTTTTGTAGTTTTATTTTATATTTGCTTTCAGTTAACTCGGCGAAAATGAATTAACGAAACAAATTTATGGAGAAAGCAAACAACAGGCAAAATTGCTTTCCATAACCCTTTCCACTTCTGGCATAGATTAGTTTTCTGAAGATACATTGAGTCACGTTCCAAAGCCTCACCACAAACAAAATTTGAGATACCAATCTAGGCTAGACCTAGTCAAGGGTCAGGCCCGATAATTGAAAAAATACCGAGTTTTCAACTCCCACATTTCATTGTTTAAACGCATTGATTTGATTTTTTTCGAGCCTTCTATTTTAAGTGTAATCCCTACAACACAGCACTCGCATTTTTGCTAATTCTGATTTTAGAAAAATGCTCTTTCCGCCATTTTAGGCGTTCAGAGGGGTAAGATTGACATACAGGTGAGAAATGGTGACCTAACTTGCCAGTACGTGTCATTCAGCAGCAAATTCTCAGGAGATGGAACTCCCGTCAGAGTATTTGCTTCAATTAATCATGGAAATAAATCATCAGGGGTCCATGATTTAGCTTTCATTTGGATCGAAGATGTTACAACGAGCCGTTTCAAGGCCTGTCTCGTACAAAGTGGCAAAAACTTAGAAAGTAACAGCACTATGATTGATTGGTTTGCATTCCAAGGATCACAAACGGGAGTATCTCATGGCCAAGCTATTTTTAGTTTTTTCACAACTGGATCACAATGCAATCGGGTTAAATTCACTCAGGTATGGATAACTAAAGCATTATAGTCGCTGAGTTCATAATCTAGTCTCTCAACATCTTGTGATGTCCCCTTCCGGTAAAAACACCTTTCGTCCTCCCTTTCTTACCCAGTTCTATCTGTTTCTTCTGGAATTTCTCTACTTCTTCTTTCTGTGTTTCTCATCAAGTTTTTCGTTTCTTAAGTATTCCTATCAACAGTATTTCCAATCTTTGCCTTTGCAGTATTTTTTTCTTCGTTTCTGTTATCTTTGTGCACTCACTTATTTTTCTTTTTTATTTCTTTTAAATAAGCCGTTTACATCGATACCCAAAATTCACGTGACAGTACAGCATGGTACTCTAAACCAAGCTCAGGACGCCATGAATATTTGGATTGCAAACGTCTCCACGAATTATTTTGAAGTTTGTCTACAGGAATCGACGACATTCGACGGCCTTCACGATAAACTCTTAGTGGTATGTTGAACATAGCAATTAAAAAACAGTTATCACACGGTCAGGAAGTCTATGATATTTATTTTTCTTTTTGCAGAACTGGATGGCCTACGAACATTGCCCACTATCCTGGGAGGCAAAGGAGTCCTCAGCCGTAAATTTTTCCGAAAACGAGGTACCATCTACAAGAGACAGTTACGCCTTGTGTAAGGTATGAATTACCCCACGTTAAACTGCTATCAACTTCATCACATAAAAAATAATCGAAATTATCTCTGTCAGATAAATCAGGAGCTGAGACCACAAGCGTAATTACCGGAAATTTTTCGATATGTACCAACGTCATACATGGTCATCTAACTCCAAACGGAGAAAAATAGAAATATATCAAATTTAGGAGCTCTACCGCTTATTATAAAATTATGAAGATGAAAGCAAACTTTTTAAAGGTTTTAAGACCTTATGGAATGTGTTCTCCCCCCTCCCCCCCAATAGATTCCACAATAAATCCTCCAATAGCAAACCTTCAGTAACAGTCAGCTTTTCTGGGGGAACCCTTCATCATTTAATTCCAGCATTGCCATTCTTCGGGAGACGGAGAAGTGACAACACTGAACGGTCTTTACATGGAACAATGTGAAGCAACAAGCTTAAAAAGAATTAGGCATAAAAATATATAATTTGTGCCAACTTCCATTTTTCAGAATGTCACTTTTTCGATTCCATTTTACTCTGCACCTTTGTTAATTACAACTGTCATCAATGGTGACGGTAACAATGCAAACAACGCTTGCTCAGTGAAAGGGCCTATAATCACTTGGCTGGAGGTGAGATGGTAAAATATTCAGACACTTATATCATTAGACCTTATACGGAAACCAGGAATTAGAAGATCAAAACAATTTGGGTTTCAGCCAAAGACAGAAATGAGTAAAACAAAAACAGAAACCAAAATTTGCGAAGTAAAAAATCAGGCAACCGCTACTACATGGTTTTTGGAGGGTTTTTACTTGGTACATGGGACAGCCAGGACTCAAGTTAAAATCTCATTAAATAGTTTAAAAAACAATTGTATATGAATTGTCAACATTAAATTAAATTAAAACAGAACTAAGTTTCTTTGTAATCTAAATCAGCCCAGAGAGTGACGTGGTAGGTCTCTTCTGATAATATGACAAGTTTTACAAGACCACTATCATGCAATTTTTCAACATTTTTGGTGAAACTTAAGGAGGACGACAGTAATTGAGTTATACCCACGTAGCGGTCAGAAGACTTGCTTTGACCTTATGTTTTTACCACATTTTTTCGCCTTTCTTTCTTTAAAGGAAGTGACTACCTCTTACTTTCGAGTTTGTATAAAGGATAGTGCCGGATATGATGGTCAGAGAAGCAAAGTACTTGTAGATTATTTGCTTTTCGGAGGTAAAATTTTATAATATAAATATCATTAAATTTACCAACTGAAATACATTTAGCTGATTTCGACGATGTTAGCCATCGCAAAAGTGTTTGTAAGCAAAGAATTCCAAGAATTACACAAAAAAAATTTTCAGAAGATGATAGTTATTTTAGATAAAGATAACAATTAGATCAAGGAAACCAATTAATTTCAATTTAGAACACGTTATCTTCGATTACTCTTTTTACTGTGACACCTTAAATTGTGTGTACTTCAGTTTGCTGTAGGTGCAGAAACCAATCCCCTTCCTAGCACCAGTCCGCGCGGCCATCTATATAGCTTTGAATTTTCGCGCGGATCTTGCAAATAAGAAAGGTCTGAGCTCGCGTAAAGGTATTCGCAAGTACATTCTTCAGCAGTATTTCAAAAATCGTCAGGTAGATTGCTCTTTCGTCGAGTGTCCCGTGTTCCTTATGTTAGTAGTATTGCCTTGGTTGTACATATTTCTTGTTATTTGTATTTCCTATGTTATTTCTGATCTTGTAATTAGTCGTTCCGTTCTTGATGTACTATGTTCGTAATACTTTACTTAGAACCCACTGGTAATGACGTGGAAATTAAACTCCTCTTAAGCTTATCGCTGGTGCGTTGGTTATAGTAGGTATCAAGTATATTTCAAACATTCATTTTCGGAGCTGCGAAAGACTGGGACAACCGATTGGCGCATTGAAAAAAAGGAAATGTTTCGTCTATTTTCAAAGTAAAAAGATGAAAAATTTCCTAGAAAATTTTTATTATCTTTAAGCAATACTTCTAATCTTGAGACTGTATCATTTGCAGATTGTAAAAGTTGTTCTCTTTTAAGATGTTAATAGCAAACTTAACCATTTATTAATTTTATTGAGGCATTTACTCATTTTATCGAGGCCCACTTAAGACCGTTTTGGCGAGTTGGGTTCCCTTTTTAAATATAAGTGGCTTTATTATTATCTTTACAATTACCATCATCATCGTCATGCTTACTATAAACACAATAATCAATATCATTATATGGAGTGGAAGAGAGCTAAAAATATTTGCGTGAGACCCTTAACGTATACTCAGCTATTTGCAATCTCCCGTCTACTAATAACTCTACCGGTACCGTTATGTACTGAAGCTTTTGTATTCAGCTTTTGCTCTAAACAAATGAATATGTCAATTGCAGATCTCGATCCTTGTTCGAATGCAAGTTGCAAGTATCACAGCCATTGTGTATCCTTGTCTCCGAACCAATTTACTTGTGCTTGCGAAGACAGTTGTCCATCGTATGAGGAACAGGTCTGCGCATCTAACGGTCGCACATTTACCAACTTGTGCCTTCTCAAGCAAGAAATTTGTAGAACACGTGGGAATTACACTAAGTATCATCCTGGAAGCTGTATAGGTACATTCTTATTCAAATCTAAAACCTTTAAATCGGCTTAGTATTTGTTTTAAGGCCATTTATTTTGGAGCCTTTTTCTGATGGCTCGAACATTAAAAGAAATACTCAATTTCTTTTTCTTAAATGTCCCACGCTCAATAAAAGTATTTAGTATCTTAATTTAAAAATCTTGCTTTGTTGGACCCTGACCACCAAGCGTACACCAACAAGGAGAATATTTTGCGCGTCTGCCGTTGCTCGCAAACTTTTCGAGGAGAGACTACCCGGGCTTTTACTTAAGGAAACCATCCTGATAGCTAGCTTTACTTTTACATTTTAATAGAAATGGTATAATGGACTGTTAAATTATTGCCCTTAAACAAAACTTACGATGGTGATCTGAGCCATGACTATATATATATATATATATATATATATATATTTTTTTTTTTTTTTTTTTTTTTTTTTTTAACCGGAGGGCTCAAAATTTTGCATCTTCCCTATTCTAATAATAATTGTGTACTTTAGGTTTCCCTCTTCAGAAAGGAAGACATCAATTCGGGAACGTTCCTTCTTGGGCAGAAGACCAGTGTGAGGTCATCCAGTTTAAACCTTTCATATTTTACCCTGACCAGAAAATATACGTACAACTTACTGTCAATCATGTGAACTATAGTGACTCCACTGTGGTACATGAAGCCACAACACCCTGGGTTGAGAGTGTCAACAGCACTCAGTTCACAGCTTGTGTCACTCGAGCTGGGAGGAATGATTACCCCTCGGATAGCTTTGCCACAGTTGATTGGGTCGCTTATCAGGGTGCTCCGTCTGGGGGAGTGGCAGGCGAGAAATGGTTCTCGAGATGGTGGACTGGAACTAGCTGTCAAAAGGTCACCTTTGCCAAGGTAATGTTATTTTAATGCTTCAGTAGCACTTACCCTCAAAACTCCAAAAAAGAAAAAAGAAAAACTTGACTTTCAAAGCTTTTAAAGCATTGAAAATGCTCCTCACATGCACGCAAAGTTGGTTACTCTTCTCTTAGCTGTTGGAAAACTACGAGAAGGGAAGGAAAAGAGATGTAAGCTGAAAAAGCTCATTGATACTCGCTGGAAATTCAAATTACCTTTCTTTAAGTTTGACTTGGAAAAGACTTGAATTTCATTTGGTCTCTTGAAAAGACTGCTTGAAAATATTAGAAAATGTAAACCATATAGAATTTGTCGAATTCCTGAAACTGTGAACGATACTTTAGTGCCCGAAAAGAGTCTAAACTTCTTGGCTTGTAGTTTTATAAAATGCTATCGAATCCCTTCGTTACTTTCATCCAACTTTTTGGTTGCATCCTGTACATTTTTTTAGGGAAAATTTTCTCAGCCACCGACGATTTTTGCAACAGCCAAGCACCACAGATCCCGCCTTAAGCACGATGCCACCAGTTTGTGGATGGAAGATGTCTCCGTAAATTCCTTCAAGATTTGTCTTCGTGAGCTGCAGAATTTTGCAGGGGTACATGAAGACATATCGGTGGTGAGTATTTTTACGTTTTAAGACATGCAATTATTAGGGGCTCACTGTTTACAAAGAACTCGACGTCTTGGTGTGATCAATTGTGAGGCAATTTTCAACACAAGGACCTCGGCACGAATAAATAGAATCGAGCTACCGACCATCATTGCATTAGTTGCACTTCACAGAGGAATGCGATCGCCTGAAGAGGCTTCTCTGAAATTTGAATATGCACCGCGCTTTATCACAAATTTAAAAGCCGCTTGGGAAAGAATTCCATTAACCTCTTACTGTTCTTAAACAGAGTATTAATACTAAAGAAAGAGAGGGAGTGTAATACATCCTCTCTTGTCCCAAAAGTAAATTCTTGTTTTCGCCATTGTTTTCTTTCATCAAGCAACTCTACATGTAATTAAGTATGCGGTTGCACATAATAAACCATTAAATTATACAGAAATCTTTCCGCCACTTTCATTACCCTATTCTTTTATCCATCTTAGTGCATTGGTTTTTTTTTATTTAGAACTGGCTTGCGTTCGAGTCCCTTCACAGACCATTGTTTTCAGAACACAGTTATGTAAACTTTCAGAATAACCTTTCACCATCAGGGATTTATAATTTTGCCTTCTGTAAGGTGAGTTCAACACTGAGTGATTTGGAAAAACATGTATGCTAGCAGTAATATGTTTCTCTGTTTGTACATGTTGTTTTTTTTTTTGGTGTGTATTCAGTAATTTTCGAGAGTTTTTATTGCTTTTGCAGCTTTATTAATTGTTATTGTCTCGTTGGGATCATGCAAAGCATCTTGTATCAAATAGGACGACTCAGTTTCCTAGAGGCAAGCTCCAATAACAAGATGTCTTATTTCATTCCATAGGACGTGAGTTTCAAGCGAAGCTACGAAAAATCACCAACGGTGTTGGTAACAGCCAAACATTCTATCAAAGGAGGAAAGGTAGCCGCAGAGTGCAATGGAATTGTGAGCTGGATTGAGGTAATCCAGAGGGCTGTCATAAGGGAAAAAAGATTTCACCATCCCAAAAATCATTGAGGCTAGATATTCATGTTTCAAGCGTGGAAGAATAGAGGCTGATAAAGTAAATTGTTAATTGACGCCATTTTCAGGTGAGGCTTTCAATAACAGTATCACACTCTTACAATTATCTGCAGAAAAAAGAGGGAAAAATCGCAAGCATGTACTACAGCTACCTTTATGAGACTATGATTTCATGTTTGGCCCTTCATTATGACATATTTAGCCCCTATTGAAACAGAAGCAGAACTCAATTTTCTACAGCCCTAATTTTCTCACATTTTGTTTGTTTGTTTTTTTTTTTTTTCAAGTTTATCACCCCCTCTAGATTCCGCATTTGCGTGAAGGAACTGTTCATCCAGCATTACGATCCATTGTTGGTATCCTATGCAGTGCTATCAGGTTAGTGAATATTTCTACCCCTATTCAAAAGGCATTCTTGGCAACGTTACTATTCATAACAAGTTTTAGGCCCTTAATACTCCAAACTAACATAAATTAGGGTTTAAATGTACAAAAACAATCAAAATTAATAGCAGCTCACTTGTAAAATAGCAATGATACGGGTGCAAGAGGTGACTTTTGACATTCTTCTCGCTCCGCGGTGAACTTTATTAACCAAACATAACCCAATCATGACGAAAACGTTTAGGAAAGCGTCGATGAAAAATTATCGCATGTCACTTGTCAGTTGTGGGTGTCTGCAGAATAACGAATAAGTCTTGATGATTTTATTACGGCTGTTATATGCCATGGATTACTTCAGATAGAGGCGTCGAGACAATTTCATCATGATTCTCGATCTCAGAAATACGCGGAAAGTAGTATGCAGTCGATATTCATTTCATGTTGATGATTGATTTGTGCAGGACGCCTAAGAAAGGTGCATAATACAGTTTTAAAGTCTTAAATCGTACCAGTGAGGCCATTATAGTAATTGTACGCACCAGACTCTTTGACAATAGACCGATCTCTTAATATCACAAATCTCACTCTTAACCATTCATTTTCCTCCTCTTATCTCAAAAGATGTTTGTGAGGAGAAATGGAAGTATTTCAATGGATATTGTTACAGGAAAGTATCTTCTTGTGATTCGTGGACCAACAGCCAGGGTACATGCGCAGCCCTGGGGGCTAATCTTCCCAGTATCCACAGTCAAGAAGAGAATGTTTATGTTCAAAGTCTCCATGGCGGGGAGCATTCTTGGCTGGGGCTCTCTGATATAAATACTGAAGGGAAATTTGTGTGGAGCGATGGAACATCGTATGACTTCCATTACTGGGCGGAACACCAGCCAAACAACTTTCACGATGAGGACTGTGTTCATACGCTTGGTTTCCTTCAAGATCATCGATACGAATGGAACGACGTTAATTGCAGTGACTGTCACAGATTCACTTGTAAGAAAGGTAAGACATAATTTTAGGGCCAAATTGAATCTAGCAACAGTGATGAAAAATGAATTTATATCTTTCACTCTACATACCATCTCTCCTTGTGACTGATAAGGACAGACATTATTTTTTTATCTTCAAAAAGGGAACTGCGCGACGACTTAAACTTCTGCGTCAGATAATCGACCGCCGCTGAATTGTCGATTTCTTTGAGCAATTCCTGAAGAACAGCATGACCTCATAGAAAAATGAAAAAAAAAATCCCGTAACGTATTTTGTCCAGTGAAACCATGGAGATTACAAAGCTTGATTTCTATCTTTTCGTCACAGACTTCAACGAATGTAGCGATTTCTTCAACGATTGTCCGGTGAATGCCTCTTGTGTGAACAGTGATGGTTCATACGCATGTCGATGTCCTATTGGTTTTCGTCTAGAGGGGAAAAATTGCTCAGGTTTGTCAAATTATAAACTTTCATTTAGAAGAAACAATAGTATAGTCTTGAATAAAATTAACGCGTAAAACCGTAATACTGTGATTGGTTGTCAAACCATTTTGTTTTGGTCTAAAATTGAAAATAATATTAATGCTAGTTCACTTTCGTAGTTTCGTGATAAAAATTGAATACATTTCAGATTCACGAGGAAACGTTTGAAAGATTTGTTCAAAACATTAAACTGATCAGTCGAGCCATGACGTGTATTTGAATATTTCATCGCTTATCAAAAATTTATTTAAATATTATATATACTATAAAAATAATATTGTTTTTCATTAAAACAGATATAGACGAATGCAGTTCAGGGTCATTTTCCTGCCATGCAAAAGCTAAGTGTGTCAATACCCCTGGTTCCTACTCTTGCATATGTTCAGCAGGATACAAAGGAGATGGAAAGATAAATTGTAACATACCAAGTAAGTAAGAAATCACCTCGAATGGTCAACATATTTCCTATCTTCCTGGTACTAACGAAAAAAAAAGGAGAAGAAAAAATACCTCCCGAACTCTCGATACCTCAAGGAATTGTAAAGGAAGGTGTGGCAGGGAGACTTTAGCTTTCGGAATCGAGTAACATGCAATACAGAACACACTCGCCGAGCAAATGAACACTTCTTTTCGACCTTTTTATCAGTCTAGTTTCAAATGCTTAACGTTCTGGATTTTCAATCAACAGCTAACTGCGCAGGGCTGTACAAATCTGGTAAAACAACCAGCGGTGTTTATACAATCGACCCTGATGGCTCTGGTGCCTTTGATGTATACTGTGACCAAACAACAGCTGGTGGGGGCTGGGTGGTGTTTCAAAAAAGACAGGATGGCTCGGTAGATTTCTACCGCGGCTGGACCGACTACAAGAATGGCTTTGGTAATCTGAATGGTGAGTTTTGGCTGGGACTGGACAAGATTCATCGCCTCACAAAAACAAAGAACAAGCTCCGGGTAGATCTGACGGACACCACAGGCAGTACTGCTTACGCGGAGTACAACATGTTTTCAGTTAGCAGTGAGAGGACTAAGTACAAGCTTAGCCTTGGGACCTACTCAGGTAGGAGAGGAATGATCGACACCATTTGATAGAGGCTTAAGTACTTCGTCGTGGAATTTTACATGTGAAATTAAACTTATTGGAAAAATATTTTTTCACTTTAAAGATGGATTAAAATATGGTAGGGTACATTTGTCGTTTATTCATAAATATTGGTCTTTGTGCTCGATGTCCTAAGTATCGCTCGCGGCTGCAGTGCACCCGAAAGAGACGAATAATAGCGAAATTTAGAAGAAAAAAAGCACAAATTCCACACTACTGCATCGCCAACCTACAAATAAACTTCAATTGCTCTAAAAAGGTCTTTTTATTATTATCATTATTATCATCATTATTAGTATGATTATTATCATTATTTTATTATAATACATCATTATCAGGTAGCAACTGTTTCAGTTGCCTTCACTCAACTAGCCTGGCCAATGACGGGATTTCGCATTCCGGCCCGCTCTGAAAGTAAAAAAGGGAGTTAATATTGATTGTGCTAAATTCGCTTTTTCCCGTGCAATTCAGTCATCATCAAACTCTTCTAACAATTTTTGGGTGGCTTTTTCAGGAACTGCCGGCGATTCTCTTTCTTATCATCGTGGCTATCCCTTTTCAACCAAAGATCAGGATAATGACGTAGATAGTAGTAACTGTGCTGTGAATTACAAAGGAGCGTGGTGGTACGTGAGCTGTCATTACTCTAACCTGAATGGACTTTATCATCATGGGAAGCACTCATCTTATGCCGATGGAGTCCATTGGTATCACTGGAAGGGACATTACTATTCCGTCAAGAGAGCTGAGATGAAAATAAGACCAGTTTCATTTTAGAACTCCCTATTTTTTTTCCTTTCGAGGGTTTACTAATTTCATTTGTAAAGGGAACACAGAGAAACAGGGTTAGATATATAGATTTCTTCGTGGAAAGTGTTGACGTACGATATTTTCGCGAGTTTTTTTCCACAATACGATGAGCGAGGCTTTACTTTGCTTTGCTCACTCGCTTGCAAGGCCTTGCTCGTTCGTTTTTTGAAAAGAAACTCGTGCGTAAATGCCGTAGTCAGCACTTTTCTCTAAAGGAGTTTGTTTATTATATACAAACTGAGATTTTCTTGAAATTCAAGGGGATTTATCAAATCGCTTTTACAAGCATCCATTTAGTTTTGAAATCTTTCCAAATAACTTACAAAAAAGTGCCTTACAGGTTAAATCAAGGCTTGAAATAGGAGAATAAAATGCTGAACTTCCTTTGGAAAAAAAAAAAGGAACTTCCTTTGTTTCGTTGCATGACAATGTGGTCGTCAATTGACTTTGTAAATGCTCAAATCTCGTGGATCCTAAGTCATTGTTTAAAGTACAAGTATCTTTGTACTTCTGGTACGAACGTTTTCTCGCTATGGAGGTTTGCATACAAGGAACTTGAGGTTGTTGAATAAAATCAGTGGTATGTTTTGAAAAGTCTCTCCTGATTGGACGAAACGCTTTACGCACGTGTGAGAAAGCCATTTTGCTGTCGTGACTGGCTATCAGAATTTTTTAAGCGGCTTTTCATATGAAGAAAACTGTAGGTAAATCTCAGTATGAACATAATAAGTGGGGTTCCGTTTCCGTTGAAAAGTACACGTGAGCTTTTAAATTGCAGAGAATTCACCGAAAAAGAGTTCTACCACAGACAAAAACGATTCTGTATTGTAAAGCACACAAAATCTCATGAATGATTGTGTCTCATATGTTCATATTGATATCTCGAAGGGACTCAAGCGACCCAGCAGCTGTTGCAAATCAGCACAATTATGAGTTCATATGACCAGATCTCACGGGTCTCCTGCATGAGATAAGAGTTATACGAGTTTAATTGCAACGAGTAATAACGTACAGACACACGTGAAATTACTGTTTGGATGCTGAGCAATGTAAAAGTACTGTTTAAAATAAGATGATTCTACTAGGTTGATAGATAGCTGATTTTTTAATAAAGACATAATATCGAAAGCCATCGTGGAAGAGTTAGTGTCTCCTGGACTAGAAGAAGCAGTAAGCAACAATGCGGATTAACGGCTGTGAATATATGAAAGTCATATATTTGAACTGCGGATAAAGACGTGAATATGAAAGCGATCTTCGCAGTAATGAACACTACTTAAGTAGTGAAAAGAAGGCCTGAAAAAAAATTCAGGCCTGTACGGGATTTAAAACCATGACCACTGCGATTCCGGTGCAGTGCTCTACCAACTGAGCTAACATGCCAACTGGGAGCTGATCACTGTGTTGGTTCCAAATAAACCTGTGAAGTGGTGAATAAACGGCTGTGAATATATGAAAGTCATATATTTGAACTGCGGATAAAGACGTGATAATTGCATCGCCAGAAATCAAGGACATTTCGAGCCTGCTAACAATTAGCAGCGGTGTATCGTATTACACTCTGGAACGATAGAATATCAAGAGAATTCAATATGGCGGCGATCTGCAAAGAAGCGTGTTTCGTACCATGACTTACACAATTTGAGAACCGCAGATCTTCTATTTGATGAAAAGAAAAAGAAAAAAAGACCTGCAAGTAAATCTTTGGGATTTTTCGAGGCAAAGCGATGACATGATGTCAGGATTTTGATTTGCTTTAATTAAATTTTCGCGCCTAGACTAAAAAATTTGCATTCAAACGCCTCGCATCTTTTTATTCCGAAAAGGACCTGAGAACCAATTTATTTCCCAGCAAGAACAAACAAATATGGTCGACGATTCGAAGATCAGCGTTGATCTTGTTTAACTATTTCAGTCATAGTTTTCAACATGGCGTCTCTTCACTTACTCAACATAGAAATAAGGGATATTCTGGCGCGTTGGGAAGTTTTTTGATGGAAGGAAATGGCAATTTTACAAGATATTTGGACGCTTCGAACTCCGTAGCAGTCAATTCGATCGAGAGCAGTTGACTTCATTGACTTTCCCGCAATAAGCGAGTGTTTGGGATGGAGAACGACGGATTTTGAAGAACTGTA